GAAAGTCTTTAGCACATAGCTAAAAATTATCAAATTTGTTTTAGAACATCATATGATCATAATTCTTTTGTACATTATTGAATTGCAGGATATTTGCAAGAGCTTGTCTACAAACTGAGTAAAGTAGGACAAGCTATCGAGAATAGCGATTTTTCTACAGCAGCTTCTGTTCTAGGACAGAGCACAGAGGCTGACTGGTTACAAAGGGCCAATTCAGCTTTCACAAAGGTAAAATAATCACTTCCTCGCTTTTAGATCATTTTCCTGTCATTTTTTTTGTCTGTCTGAGCCCTTTCTATCAAATCATATGTTTATAGTTAAGCTCTAGTCCTGAGGCAAAAGCAGAGGTGGACATGTTCAATTCCTCTTTGGCAACTTTGATTTCATCAGGTGCATTATTAGTAACCATAATAAAGTTTTATCTTTTTCTTGGCTTCAGCTTTTAGTCTGAGAAACTTTCTTCTTGCAGTTGATAAGAATGATATCGAGTCGTGTAGAATGGCTTTTGTATCTTCAGCCAGTGCACTGGAGAAATGGGTCGGATTAACGGGTCTAATTGGTCAGCTCAAGGGTCTCTAACCGCAAAATCATTGATGCAGATTTTGCTTCAAACTTTTTCCTTCAATGATTACGAGGAGTTACTTTGTAAAGAATTTGATGTCACATTCTTCTTTCATTATAGTCATTTTCGCCTAGACGCATCTTAAGACTTCTAGCTTTGTAACTTTTATAAAAGTTGTTTATGTAATTGTTTCTACATAGTTTCTTTGATTTCTTTAACTTGTGTCACCTATTTATTTTTCTGTGTAATCGTATTTTGTATTAAGTGGTTTAGTTTTAGATACTAACAAGAATTCCTTTCTTGTTCAAGTTTTTCTGCTCGCCTTTGATTAAGTTATGCAACGGAATTAGATCTCTTCCTTTGTTTCTGCAGATTCAGACTTGTACCTCACTTCATACGTATATCTTAGGATAACCTTATTCCCTTCAATTCTTTTCTTCTCAATGTGTTCTTCACTTGTGACTCTTATAAATTGGAGCTCCTAAAGAAATCAAATACATCAGACAAAAGTAATTGTTCTCGTGCTTGCTGTCTACTTGTTTTTGGATTTCCTTGCAAAATTAAAGACTGTACAAGGTAATCCTTATCGTCTTTCTCTTGAGATTGATGCAGCGAGTGTTTGCTTCCTATTGTTAAATGAAACATTGATATTTTTGCATTTTGGAGATGATTTTGCTTCATGGAATCATTCATGCAACAATTTTTGAAGCGTATACCAATCTAAGCAAACCCTCTGAAGATGCTCCGATTCCCGATGCGAAGGTAATTTATTTGGATAATTTTGACCTTAGCCCCTCATATCCTTCATATTTTGCGATTCGTCATTGCGTCATATGTTTTTTTTCTCACTTTTTTCTTTTTCTATTGTTTGTTTTTAATGAAATAATCCTTGCAAGTTTATAACCCACCGTTAGTAACTCCTCTTGTATGATCATCCCTGTTACAAATATATGGAGATTGAAGGATAAATGATTTAAGACTCACATGAGGGTCCGAGAGTAATTGATGTAACGTCGTCAAACTATGAATTAAGACATTTAACCTCGCATTTGAAGGTCATGATCCATCAATATCTAATAAAATCTAGAAGAATGCGAAAAACTCCTAAAAAGGGAGAAGAAAATTTTATGCTGCCACAAGAAAAACTTTGAAATTAAGAAAGGAGGTTAAGGGGGAAAAAGACAATAAAGGAAGATGAATGAACACAATTCTGCTACAATATAATCAAAATGAAAGTTCTAAGAAAAAACCACTAAAATAGAAAAAACAAAGAAAAGAAAAGAAAAGAAAACACCATTATTTAGAGAGGACAAAATGATATTGTATGTTTTGTCATGTATCTATAGTAAAATTATTCATGGGAGCTGTTAAGCCTAATACAACCAACACTCTTCTTTTCCCATTTTCTTAGTAGTTGAGAAAGTATCCATCCTATGACATTTAATGTGTTCCGAAAGATGTCAACAATTGGATCTGTGCATAAATCTTAAGGTTCAATGATTCAATGGTTAACATTCATTTAGTGCACATTAAATGCTATGGACAGGGGACCATTTGATTCTTTCTCCCTAGTAGTCTTCTATGAACTCAACCAGTTTGATTTTTTGTTGTGGAAAGACACCTACTTCATCCACGAGGAGATTGGGAAGACGATTCTCATGGATCAAAAGAGTTTCTCTCTGTGACTTCTGCCAGCCAAAGGTTCCTCCCTCACTCTCCACTCTCTTATTACCAAAAATATTTTTATTACTCTAATTATTTCCCCTCTTTAATTCCATAGGTACTTGAAGAAACTGAAAGCTTAATCCTCGGCCAAGACTCACCCAAAGTGTACGCAACAATCGACATAGAAAAGGCGAGAGTTGGCCGAACAAGAGTGATCACCGACGAGCCCAACAACCCAAGATGGCTCGAGTCCTTCCGCATCTACTGCGCTCACTTTGCCTCAAACATCATCTTCACCGTCAAATCCGAGAACCCTGTGGGCGCGACGCTCATCGGCAGAGCATATTTGCCGGCCGAAGACATAATATACGGGGACGAGATCGACTGCTGGCTCGACATACTCGATGAGAAACACAATCCGGTCGAAGGAGAAGCCAGGATTCACGTCAAGATCAGCTATCAAGATGTGTCAAAAGACCCCGAAAATTGGTCCAGGGGTATTCCAAGCTCAAATTATCTTGGTGTTCCTCACACTTACTTCAAGCAAAGGCAATCTTGTAGGGTAACATTGTATCAAGATTCACACATCGCCGACGATTTCACCCCGGCGATCAACTTAGCAAACGGGACGATCTATGAACCTCATCGATGTTGGGTCGACATCTTCGACACCATCATCAACGCTCGACATTTCATTTACATTGCTGGGTGGTCGGTTTACGCAAAGGTCACCTTAATAAGGGATCCGAGAAGTACAAGAAATCAACAAACACTTGGGGAGCTACTCAAGATGAAGGCTAACCAAGGTGTTCGGGTGCTTATGCTTGTTTGGGACGACAGGACATCGGTATCCCTCGGTCCGTTGAAGAGAGACGGCTTGATGGCGACCCATGACGAGGACACAGCAGGGTACTTCCGGGGATCCAAAGTGCACTGTGTCTTGTGCCCCCGAAACCCCGACATGGGAGAGAGCTACGTTCAGAGTCTCGAGGTGGGGACAATGTTCACTCATCATCAGAAGATCGTGGTAGCCGACAGCAGCGACCGCAGCAGAAGCATCAAGGGCTTTCGGTATTCCACCAAGAGAGGGACGACCAACATTGTGAGCTTTATTGGTGGCATTGATCTCTGTGATGGGAGGTATGACACACAACGACATTCCTTGTTCAGGACATTGGGCACTGTACATTACTCGGACTTCCACCAGCCGAACTTTCCAGGGGCATCGATCAGGAAAGGAGGACCGAGGGAGCCATGGCATGACATACATTGTCGATTAGAAGGGCCTGTGGCTTGGGATGTCCTGTATAATTTCGAGCAGAGATGGAAAAAGCAAGGGACAGGCGATAATCTCCTCTTAAAGCTAAGTATGCCATCCGATGATGCATCGTTAGAAACGTCGCTTCCCCAAGACGAGGCATGGAATGTGCAATTGTTCAGATCCATCGACGGTGGAGCTGCTTATGGATTTCCCGATACCCCTGAGGAAGCAAAAATGATGGGCCTGGTCAGCGGAAAGGATAATGTCATCGACCGCAGCATTCAGGACGCTTACATAAACGCCATTCGCCGGGCGAAGAACTTCATCTACATAGAGAACCAATACTTCCTCGGGAGTTCCTACGATTGGAAATCTGATGATATCAAAGTCGAGGATATCGGTGCGCTGCATCTCATCCCTAAGGAGCTTTCATTGAAGATTGTCAGCAAGATCGAGGCGAGGGAGCGATTCACAGTCTACATCGTTATCCCAATGTGGCCGGAGGGCGTGCCTAATAGCGAATCCGTTCAGGCAATCTTGGATTGGCAGCGGAGGACTATGGAGATGATGTATACTGATATCGCTGTTGCACTCAAAGCTAAGGGGATTCGAGGAGCGAATCCTAAAGATTACCTCACCTTCTTCTGCTTAGGCAATCGGGAGACAAAGACGGTCGGAGAGTACAAGCCACCAGAGCAACCGGAGCCTGACACTGATTACAGCAGAGCTCAATGGTCGAGGCGATTCATGATCTATGTTCACGCCAAGATGATGATAGGTAAATAATTCACCTAATAACTCCGTCTGAACTTTTGAACCTAGGGGTCCATTTGACAACTTGAGGATTGTTCCGAAACTAGCCTAATCTAGATTAGTTCTTGACCGGAGGGGTTGGAACAATCCTGGCCTTCTTGACCAAAAAATTGGCGTAACAAATCCCAGTTAAATCCATGTCTGGTTATTTTCCAAACTAGGATTAACCGGGGTCTGGCTATTGTTCCATCTAAACCTGGGTATATCAAGTTGCTAAGCAGACCCTGCAACTTCTCACGAGTCATAACTGATAATAGCTTCATCATATGTTATGCAGTGGACGACGAGTATATCATAATTGGGTCAGCCAACATCAACCAGAGGTCGATGGACGGAGGCAGAGACACAGAGATCGCAATGGGAGCATATCAACCATACTACCTTGCTGAGCGCAGACCGCCACGAGGGCAGATCCATGGTTTCCGGATGTCTCTCTGGTACGAGCATCTTCGGGTGGTCGACGATGCTTTCCTCCGACCGGAGAGCCTGAGGTGCGTGCAGAAGGTCAATGGCATCGCTGAACGGTACTGGAAGCTCTACACTGGAGATTTTGTTGATAATGATCTCCCAGGGCATCTACTTAGCTACCCTATTAGTGTCGGCAATGACGGACAGGTCACTACATTGCCAGGAATGGAGTTCTTCCCTGACACCAAGGCTAGGGTTCTTGGGAAAAAGTCTGAGCTTCCTCCAATCCTCACTACTTGATTGTAAATAAGTGTGTTCATGGCTTAGATTAATTGATTTGTGTGTGGTTTGTGGAGAATATATTACATGTTTTATGTCATAACACAGAATACATGATTGTGCTCGCTATTCCTTGTAAATTCTACAAGTTATGTGTTATGCCACAACTCATGTCCATGTGCAATCAACAAAACACACTAGACACTCAAAAAAACGATCAAACATTGAAATTGGAAAGGTATGAAGCAAACACATCAACACTTATCATGGGACTTCTCGTCAATTGATTGCATATATGAAGAACGTAAGCAGCAAGTAACTACAACTTCAGGGTTAATCAGCTTTCTCTAAGAATTTTTCCGTATATATGCAAGGGCATCAGATAACAGAAAGCTCTTACTATTATCAGCATATTGGGATGTCACACTCTTAGGTGCAAGGTATGCAACCATATACACTGCTTTCAAGACCAATGGTTACGGATGTAAATGCTCAACATGCTCAACCTACAACATTATGTCCCAAATTTCACGGCATACGCTGCTAATATCTCGACAAGCTCATTAATCTGAGAGCAACCAGCTATTCGGTTGTTGCTGGGGAACTCTGTGGCAGTGTAAGCTATCACCATAAGTACAGCTACTGCAAGACTGCGTGTAAAGATTAGTGTGTTCAATAAACTGATGCATTTGTTGTTTATTTGTTCATTGCAAATGTATACATAGCAAGTCTAACAAATGAATTGAATCCTGAGCATCAGCCTACCAGGATTCATTCATATGTGGCATGCAATTATATAAATTGCCCTCCATAGGCTATGATTGTGGACGTAAATGCTCAAGCTACTACATTTTGTAGGTTGAGCGCTAAGTGAAATATAGTATTCGATAGGATCAAGCAAGATCAAGAATATTGCAGACACTTCCCTTCACAATTATTAAACTCCAGCTGGGCAATTTTTTTTATTTTATGAATAACGAAACCAGTTAATAGTCTCTATGATTAGAGTATAATATTTATGGTGGGAAAGAACCTAGAGTTATCATTACAATTCATTAATATTTAAAGACATGAAATTTCCGACCTACAAGGGGAAAACATATTGGAACAACATAACATTAAACATGTTGCAGATCAAGAATCTATAGTACAAATCAGTACGTTGAATAACATGAATATTTCAGACGTGCTAGGAAATAGAAACAGAGGTTTATCAAATTAATTAGATACATGCATATTTACTATAACACAATCAAAGGGATGAAACATCAGCACAAGCAGTAGAAGTGCTGTTGAGGAGCAGTTTGCTTTGAAGCACCCGTTTCACCTTAACCATAAGGTTCGATGTTTGAATATCAAAACCGGTACTCAAAAGCAACCTGCATCTCTGCCAGCCCTTCACTCTTCAATGCGTGTACAAACACAAGAATAAAGCCCCAAACAACTAGCCAATGAACAGAGGCAAAGAAAGAAAGAATAGGCCCTTACTCAAAAAGACAACAATCAGTAGGGTGGATAGTAGTATCCTCCATTTCCATACACCGGTGGCATTCCATATGGCATCGCAGGATTAAGGTAAGTGTAGCTATTCTCGAGCCTAGCCAAGCTTGTCTGCCCTTGCATTCCATTCCGAGCATACTGCTGCCACATCAGCTGCTCATGTGTCAGTAGCTGCTGCTTCTTCTCCATGTCAGCCATTTGTACATAAGAAGGCGGCGGAATTGAAGCAGAAGCAGCAAAAGGATCTCCACCAACAGTTTGAACTGTGCCATCAGGAGCAGGTAAAGCCAAAACCGGGGTTTTGCTTTTGACAGGCAAAGCTACACTGCTTGCACTCCCTCCACTAGTTTGAGCACTGACGTGCTGCCTCACTGCTCCCTGATCGTACATGCCATTCAATAGCAATGGATCGAATCCTCCAGCCAAATTGGCTTTCTGCTTAGAGAGATTGCTCGCTGTTTCAACTAATGCAAGCTCCCAATCTGCCTTTCCCTTTTCTGCTGCTGGAGTTTGCCAAGCTGAAGTCACTTGAGTGCCACCATTTTCTGAAGGGGATGCTTCCCATGATCCATTACTAGCTGAAGTTGCTCCTCCTGCTGAGAAAAGTGCTAATGCCAATCTATTTTCATGGTCAACTGCAGATAAAGATTCTTCTCTGAGATTTACCAGTTCACCTTCATGCTGCTTTGGCTGCTCTGGTTTAGGTTCTAGTTTCTCCTCAACAGGCTTTTCTTCATAATCTGCAGGTGCTGGAAGTGCTTTAATATTGTCCATATCCTCAACAGGTTCTTCATCTTGCACAATGGGTTGAGGGATTGGCTCTGGCTCTCTGGGGAGATCAACGGGCTTTCTTGCTCTATCCCTCACGAATTCCTCCAATGTCTCAAGGAGTTTGTCAGTTATGCGTTGAACCTCAGGGAACTCCGATGACCTGGCAACCCCGATATCCTTGCACCAGCTATAGAAAGCTGCAAGCTCATCAATTTGCTTCGCAGCACTGGCATAGGCCTCAAACGACTTAACACAGTCAGGATACTCCATGTCAAAGAACCGATCGAGAAGCACGGCCAAGATTTCACACAAGTCGGCATAAAGCTGGAAGCTCTCTCTCACAGTAGGGTAAAGAGCAACAAGGACCATTCTGCTGTTCTTTGCTAAGCCCATGGGCCGAAGAGCAAGGAACCGCTCCAATAACTGCTGTAGCTGATGCATCTTACCCAAAACCTTCTCGGGCTTCATATCTCTCAATGGTGTCCTTGGCTTTCTTTCTTCAGACCCTTGGTTTGGGCTCTTGTACCTATCATCATATCGATAATCCCCATTTCCATAAGGATCATGCTCACTATAATCAGAACGATGAGGCGACCTCCAGTCTTGATCCCTAGAATACTGATATGGCCGACGACCACCATTGCTCTCAGCATTACCACCACCTCCTTGCTTCTGCTCATAAACAATGAGCTCAAGCCGCTGGTCTAAATACAGTGCATAAGTACGAACAAATGCAGAATGGTCCCAAGAGCTCGAATGAGCTTCATCTCGAAAATCCGACATATTGAGAAGTCTTGTCCCCCTTCGAGTTGCATACATGATCTCATGCTGAAATGCAGGATCTCCATCGGAGAGAAGACGGTGAATAAGCATAAGCGCTTTCAATGCGACAATCCAGTCTCGGGTCTTGCTCAATCTCTTCGAAACTGTGGAAATGCAAGCACTTACATATCCCCGAGAATATGAAGTGAAGTTGAGGATCTCACGCAAGTATTTCTCATCTGCAGGGTCATCGTCGTGGCTGGTGGCTTTCACAATGGCCACATCGAGGTCAGGGGCGATGTTACTCGAGACTTTGGCAAGACCGATGCTGGTTTGATCCTTCACTGCTCCTAGGGCCTTTCGGAAAGGTGCCATTTTCTCAACTGTCTAAAGCCCAAAAATAGCAAGATAATCCTAGAAATCTCTCTTGAAGGCTCCTTGGACCTAATACAAGCAGATACTATGGCTAACTTATAAACATAATTGATGATCTTTAGAATTTGATTCCAATTAAAGCTATAAACTTCAATTTGAACGTATAAAACACCGAAATATTCTACAAGAAAGAACAAGATCAAATCTTTAGAATCCAACCAATTCAAACATGATCAAAGAACAGAACTTTGAATTAACCAACAAAATCAACACAGATTCAATCAAAGATAAACTTTCAAGTACACAGATCCAACACATTTTTTTATCATACAAGGATAGATCTCATTAAGAAAAACTTAAACCCTCGCTGAAAACATCACATATTGGCTGGATCTGAGTCGACCCAGAAAAGCAAAATGCAAACTGAAAGTGGAAGAAAAGGATTGATCCAAAGTCAAATAAGAGCTGTATCTAAAAGATAAAATTTGCCAAAAATGGAAGGAAAATTAAGTCTTGAGCTCACCTGGGCAGAAATTGGAGCTCAATTTATTTCCATACGGAAAAAAAAAGATCACCCCGCGATCGATCAGCCTCTTGCTTCGGGAGAGGAGCAAGATCTTTTTTTTGTACTTTTTCTGTCGACTTGCTGTGAGAGTCTGTGGCTTTCTAGATCCGTCAATGGGCCGGTCTAGGCCCGTTCTGAGTGGGTTAGAAAATGAACGAAAGCCCGCTCAGGGGTCCCTTCTATATTTAGGAAATTATTGACATGGTCCCTTTTGTTATATTATTTTAGGGTAAATTACAGTAAACCCCGAAAACTTTCGGCATTTTGCAGTAAATCACTAAACGCTTCTAAAATCGCGTTAAACACTCAATAACTATTGGAGTTGCAAGAAAATTTCCAATAAGTTTCAGTATTTTGCAGATAACCCCATGATGATAGTATTCGATGTTTGGGATCTAAGTATGTCACCAATTCAAAATGTGGACTAACATAGTCAAGGGGGTCATATGCAAAATACAGAAATGTACTGAGGATTTTCTACAATTCCAATAGTTATTGGGAAGTAGGTGTGATTTTAAAAGTTTTGGGGTTTACTTCAAAATGCTGATGATTTTTTGGCGGTTTGTGTAACAGGACTATAGTGCTACTGGTACTGAAATTATAAAAAAAAAAGTCAACTCACTGTGATGTCAAGGGAAGGTAACTGGTTGAGGATTGAAAGTTTAGAAAACTGTAGGATTCTTATTTAGGAAAGATGTCTACGTTAACTTAAATAAAAAAAATCGGAACAATGTTGTTCTTGTGTAGGAAGAAAGATAGTAACTAGGACGTTAATTCGCTCCAAAAAAATAAAATAATAACTAACGTTAATATAGATACAACATATGATAGAGTTGACGATACGGCAAAGAAAAGTATGGAATATTCTTATATTCATAATCTTTGATGCATATGGATAGCTGTAGCAAAATATAGGCCTAATTGCACGTGATACTTTTGGAGTTTCATCTTGTTTTGACTTTTGATGTCCCAATAGGCTTGTCCAAACAAGTGGGCTCCGGCGGGTTTGGGCCGGACAGAATGTTTTAGGTTCGGGCCTACGCCAAATCGGGCTAACCCTAATTTTTTTAATTTTTTATTTTGCAAAAAATTGCTGAAAAATTAGATTTTTTGTAAAAAATTATGGAATTTAGTAGTAATTAAAATATGAGAAATTATGTCAAAATTTCTATTTTATTATTAATCACTTATAATTATACAATTAATAAAGCTTATAGAAATTAAAATAATAAAAAATAAATTCTTTATTATTAATACTAACAATTACAACTTTTTTTAGGAAATTGTCTCGTCATAATAAATGAGTACATCCCAACTAAGTTAGCACCTACTCATCATATCACTATCATTTGTAACTATTTTTAAAATAATTTATCATAGCCTTATAGTTAAAAAATAAAAAATATAAATTATAAATAACTTTCTACTCTTTATCTCCTATCATCAATTCATTAAGTCTTCTTCAATGCTAGCTATCCAGTTGATGTATTGAGTTCTCTTCTTGTACCTACACTAATCTTGTAGGCACATTACTGCATGTACGATAGATAAATCTAGCGATGTTCTGTGATCGTCGATCAAATGTTCTGATGTGCTGAAGGTAAATTTCGAAGCTACAGTAGAAACATGTACTGTTAGTAAGTCATGAGACATGATGAAAAGTATATGATATAAAATTGTTCCATGTGCTCTCCACCATTGTAAAATGTAGGCGCAGCTAAATATTGTTCAATTTTAAAAAATTTCCTTGATGATCCTAATCCATGGTTACTACCCTACCTATTTAGCTTCTCTATCATCCTTTGCCTGTCAAAAAACTTATCTTTGTCCCGTCTAGAGCTTGTAAAACCCCTAAATTGAGATGCACTTACTCCATATCTATCTACATACTCATCAAATATTCTTTGAAAATAAACTTGATGATACATTTTTTGGCTTAAATTGCGTCGTAGTTCTAAGAATCGAGGCCTTAATTGAGAGAGTAGAGATTCGCGAATGTCGCCTTAAGACATTGCTTGAACTCTATTGTGTTTTTCTAAATGGCATTTGAGGTGGTTAGTGTCACTCTTATGATGAGCTTCAAAGGTATGGCCACATAACGCGCATGTGGCCTTTTAGGTGAGAAGTTTATTGTGTTGATCTCTGGTGACTTATATCTTCTTAAATAAACCCCACACTTTGGATCTCGACTTTTTAGGAACTCTAGTTGTTGGATCATCACTATTAGATTCGGGATCAACATCAATAGTAGGAGGAGTTGTTGGATTCATTTTGAGAGTTGGATTTTGCCCTTCATAATGAGAGAAGGAAGCCAATGAAATTAGAGAATTAGAGAGTATTAGAATATGACACCCCCACTTTAGTCCCACATGGACTATTGTGAAGAAATGTTAGTGACTTAAATACAGAAGTCCAATGCTCAAAAATAAATAGTACTAGCATTTTGACAGTGAACTTTAGCAAACATCGAGTTACTTTCGATGGGTCCCACGGCTTGCACGCGCTAACGGGCCCATGGACCCGGGGCGTGACAAAATGGTATCACAGCAGTTGCCAATCGAAAATATGGAGCTAAGTGTTATACGGGGTTAAGTGCTACATCGTGTGGATGTGGTGGGAGCCATCTCTAGAGCCTGTAGGAGTCACCTCTATAGTCAACATTGCCTGGCAGTGATACTGGGATGTGTCAATTGTCATGTCGTGACGACGAGGACGTCGTCTTTGTAAGGTGAGATGACTGTGACACCCCCACTTTAGTCCCACATGGACTAGTGTGAAGAAATGCTAGTGGCTTAAGTAGAGAAGCCCAATGCCCAAGAACAACTAGTGCTATTATTTTGACAGTGGACTTTAGCCAACATCGAGTTGCTCTCGGTGGGTCCCACGATTTGCACGCACCAACGAGCCCGTGGGCCTAGGGCATGACAATATCAAATTGTGGATCACTAAATATCAACTCCAAATCTTATAAATAATTAACCAACAAATAAATATACACCATCGACATCTCATCCAACAACAAGTCGCATATTTTGTATCGTAGTGTCTCACGCTACCCTCGAGTAGGTAGCACGGCAAAAAAAGTACAATCATGTGAAAACCTCATCAAAGTATACATCGCCACATAAGAAAGTCAAGTGTTGGACTATGTTCACAAATAGTAGTCGTCTGAGTTGTAGGCTTCCTGAATATGTAGAGTGTAGTCGTCGACAGGATCATGCGGCACATGGACTAGCACACTCGGAGCGCAGTCGCCTGCTATATCATACGGTACACTGACATACGCACTCAACATCAAAATAATGATGTATCACGGAGTGTAGTCGCCCGTATTCTCATTGCGGTTCAAGGACTAATGTACTCAGAGTGTAGTCGCCTGTGTTCTTATTGCGATGCACAAACTAACGCACTCAAGCATCCACAACTACCGTAAACCAAAACAATTGACACTCCCTATCGTGACAAACACAAAAATATTAGACTACACACTACCCAAAAGCTCGTGCATGCTAAAACCCAATACGTGCATTCTCATGGTCACACATGTGTATCGACGTGCGGCTCGTACTTCGTGTTTTACAATTAAATGCACGTGGAAGATCAAACTTTTCAAAACAGCACTAGGTCGGTCGACTGATTTCTCATCGGTCGACTGGGCGGCAACATGCACGAAACATGCACAAACATCCAGCCTTAATCGATCAACCGATACATGTGTCGGTCGACTGACCAGAGAAAAATCCCTAGATTTTGCTGACCAATCAGTCGATTGATTATTTTGATCAGTCGACCGATCAGAGAAAATTTTCCAGCTCTTGAGAAAATTAGTTTTTGGTCGGCTGATCCTTCTGATCAGTCGACCGACCAAGTGACAGATAAAAAATGTTTGATTTTCTCTAAAATTCACCAAAGTCGAATTTTTCAAAGAAACTCATATATACTATCTTGATTTAATGTAATTAGGGTTTACTCTGATACATAAAACCACAAATATAAATTTGAGGGGATCTAATAACCCTAACATGATTATATTATAAATTCATCATGAAAACAATTAAATTAGCAAAAATCTCATGTTAGATTTACTTCAAAACTTCAACCCTAATTAAAGAATTTGTTTCATCACTTTTAAATCAGAAAAAATAAACTTTTACGTCATAAAGTTAAGGGGTGATCTCTACACATATAATAGGTTATTTTTAAAAAAATCCAATAAAAATAAGAAAAACGGGGATCGGTTTGGAGGAGATGAAACTCGCCTTTTGAAAATGTTTTGATCTGTCACACGTGGAAGAAAAGCTTGATCTTTCTTCATAAAAGTCGTAGATCTCGCCCTCCTCTTGAACCTTGCTTCACTAATCTTCTCCCAAAGTAAGATAATTTTTTTTTAAGGTTTTGAGGGAGGTAGCTACTGCTCAGAACGTGAGGGATGAAGTATAAAAGAGGAGAAAGTCGGGTATATATGTATAATAACCTTTCCATAGATATACTGGAAGCTATGGGCACTGCACCATCTAAGACATGGAAGGAATTGAAGGTACGAGGAGAGCAGGCTGAACGATTCCTCAAAAGGAAGAAAGCTGAAAGGGGACAACCGGCAAATAATACCCAAAAACAAAACTTTACCCCCCGTGGTAAAGGGAAAGGACCGGGGAACGCGGTAGACGCGAATCAGACATTTGAATTGCAACCCCAACAGCAGCCGTAGCAACAGCAGCCGCAGCAACAAGTGCCAAAGCAACAAACGCCTCAATGGCAACAACGACCTCCAAGGCAACAGAAAACTTCTGAGCCAAAATTCCTAAAGGAATACTCCTTCAAAGAAGATGAGGTCCCTGGTATCTTCAAGTATTTGATGGAAAATAACAAAATTAAGCTGCCTCCGATCGCTGATCATGAAGGAGCTAAGAAAATTACGGATCCGCGATATTACGCATTTCACAGAACAGTCCATCATCCTACGAAGACGTGCTACTATATATATATAATTGATCTCAAATTGATTACAAACAGATCCATTTATCCTATAATGAAATCAACCATAAAAGAACTCATTTATCATTATTTTTGATAATG